GCCTTCGCCAGATTGTGACCTTCCCATGACGCAAAGAGGGCATGCGGAGGAGGCAGGCAATCGGCTACTCAAAGAGGGCTGGATAGAGGGCAGTAGTAGTAATAGACCTTTCCCCTTATCAGTGAAATTTTGATCTAGATATGCCTGGACAAAAATCAGAGCATCACAAAATTAGTAATATTCCGAAGTTTCGTTGCGAAATGTTGTAAAATGCGGATAATATAGCCTTGCGAAGTTTGCCGTTTTTTCAGTCATTTGCATTACAAACGGAAATTGATAATCAGATGATCAAACTGATTATCAATTTCCCATTAGTGATACAAAATGACTGAAAAACGGCAAACTTCGCAAAGCTATATTATCCGCATTTTACATCATTTCGCAACGAAACTTCGGAATATTGCTAATTTTGTGATGCTCTTTCAAGCTGTGATGAAATGTTTGTCAGACTTGTCTAGATCAAAATTTCACTCAAAAGGGGAAAGGTCTATTGATTTCGCCAAAATGTGGTGAACCAGAAATGCTGATTTCCTGATAGTTCGTAAATTTATTGGTATGCATCTAATTCTTGGCCGTGCGGAGGGGAGAGGGGGTGTTTTACAGAGTGGGGACTCGATAAAATTCTTCCTTTCGATTGGGTGGAAGGGTTATTTGTGAGGGGACTCATCGTATACTTTATTTTCGTGCAGCTTTTTACTAAGTTATTGAAGAAACATCAAAAGGAATCGGACACCTTGACAAAACGACTAGTGAAGGTGAAGTGCATATTTTAAATGTTTTTTGCAGTGGAGGGGGAGGGCGGGGGGGGGGGCGAAACCAAGATTAGGTCCCTATGTGGGCTCCCTAGAGTGTGCCAGTGTAGGTAATGATAATAACACCAGAGAGTTACAGATTGAGGGGAATTCAACTGAAAAATTCAAGTAAAGCCCTTCTGTAATATATTGTATGCATTATTGATCCAAATAAATTTGTGAAAACAAAACAAATCGATTCGAATCGCAATTTTGTGTACAAACCATTTCTAATGTCGTTACTTTGGTATCAATTGCTACTTTGGTAATTAATTTTTCATTCATCTGAGATTATGGTTGAAGTTAAAAATTGTTTTGTCTTTTAAAGGAACGAACTACTCTAAATAAAACACACGATGCAGCTTTGGAGAAACTGTTTGTAAACGCCCAGAAGAATAAAGAGAATGAAAAGAAAACGTTTGAGAGAGCGAGGAAAAAATGCAGGTGAAGATTTAACAGTTCAATGGTTTTTCAATGGAATTTCGAGCGGAAGGGTTATTTGCAATTTTCAGAACTAACAAGGAGCAGTTGCAAAAACTTCAACTGTTGCCCTCGCAGAAATAGAACCTGTGGCTCAGCGATTTTAGTGTAGCGCTCTAACCAACTGAGCTACAGAGTCGAGTTGTCGAGTTCTAACCACAAGTTCTTGTATACATATAGTGGGTGATGCCTGTATAAAGTATGGATAAATATATCAACATTTTTTTTTCCCCAAAATTCTCTATATGTATACCAATACCTTATACTGGTAACCCATTATAAATATCAGGCACGGATTTTCTGGGGGGGTGCGGAGGGGTGCGCACCCCCCCCCCCCCG